CTCACGCGTGGACAACGAACCGTCCTCGCGCTTACCATGATTAATACCACACAACAACACACCACCACCACACCACCTTCTTCATCACGATTGCGCCATGCAGAGCCCGATGGTGCACGCGTTGGCACAGAGCCCCTCTGGTCGCCTCCTCAAGCACGTTGTCCGCTGCTACCACCGCCTCTCAGACAACCCAAGGTGTGACAAATGGATTTTTTTTTCGCGCACGTGTGTGTGTGTGTGTGTATATATGTGTGCTTATATGTGTGACACAGCCTGTGTGTGTGTGTGTGTGTGTGTGTGTGTGTGTGTGTGTGTGGGTGTGTGTGTGTGTGTGTGTGTGGGTGTGTGTGTGGGTGTGTGTGGGTGTGGGTTTGTGTGCGATTAGTGATATGCTCTACACAGGCACAGCCAAAATCAGACACCAACACCGCCTGCGAAGTACATCTCTCCTCACCCATACTTCAACATCCACCGCCGCCACCGTCAACCACAGGGCGCGGGATGCGCTGCGCTCGTGTCTGCCCGACAAGCTCAGGGACGGGACCATCGAGAACACACTCAGGGTGAGCTCCCCTGCGTGACGTGTGCGTGTATGTCTGCGGGTGACTGTTCTGTGTCACTTCTTTGCTCGTGTGCGCGCGTACACTGCACAATAGCCAGCCAAGTACGAACGCCCTCTTCTTCCCCAAGGCGCCCTCACCCACCCCCACCCCCACTTTGATGTTTTCCAAATGCCGTTGCTTGTCCCTCGCGATCAGTCCCAGAAGGATGAGCAGACGCTGGCTTTTCTGCAGAAGTTGCTTGTGAACCTTGGGCTTGCCAGCCCCTCAACGGTGCCCGCCCTCCCAACGCAGCAGCAACAGGCCCAGTAGAGTCGGGCATGAGTATGATCGAAGACAGTGAACTCGGTACACCTAGCAGCCCGTCAGCAGCATCCCTTCTTCCCCTTCCCTGTTCCTTCCTCCCCCCCTTCCCCTCTCTCTTCCTTCCTTCCTCCCTTCCTTGTTTCAACCACTTGTACTATGGGTTTGAGGCTTCCTTCTCCACCAGTAGTGCCTCTTCCACCCCTTGCACAACCAAACACACCCAATCCAGCGCCATTGACAGGAATAATGATCTCTCTCTTTTTGCTATGGTTTGAACGCAGCTTGTATGAAAAACGGTCTCTCTTCTCTTCCGTGTTTCCTGTCGTTGCTGATGCAACTTGTGTGTGTGTTTCATCTCTGTCCGTGTCCTTCTATCGGACTGCAGCTGCCACGTACACTTCTTCACCACTCTTTTCCTTCTCTTCCCCTCTCGGTTTTGCCTCCCCCCCTCTCTCTTTCCTCTTTCCCTCTTCGTCTATTGTTGCTTCGCTTTGTAATGGGATTACACTAATTTGTCGCAGCGGTATGCTGCATCCATGCCGGTGCCCGCGCTGCTTGCATGCAACCCTGCTGCCTCCAGGCAGCGCTGTTACCACCACATTGCCCGCTCGCTTGCATGGGCGTGTGTGTGTGTCTGCTGCGTATTTGTGCCTGTGTATGTATGTGTCTACAAATGTCTGCACCTGTTTCTGTGTGTATGTCTTGTTCTCTTTGCCCTGTTGTTGTCCCCTTTGCTGTGGCCCTGGCTCGTTCCCCGCCACAAGGGCCACCTCCCTCCCGCTGCCTTCCAGCGTGCTAACGATGGCTGCATGCACTCACACGCCGTGCGCGCGCGTGTGTGTGCGTGTGTGTGTGCCTTCGTGGTTTGAGGGGGACTTTGTTATTGGTCGTTGCCAATAAAGCAAACATAACGTCGTGTGATGGGACACACGTCGCGGTTGCGTCGGGCACATCCGTGCTTATGTGTGTGTGTGTGTGTGTGTGTGTGGGGGTGTGTGTGTGTGTGTGTGTGTGTGTCAAGTAGGGGGGGGGGAGGCATGGATAACGTGCGACGTACGCAATGCTTGTTAAGTGGGTGAGTGTGAGTGAGTGTGAGTGAGTGAGTGTGTCCGCATTCAGGAGATGAGGACGGCAGCAGAGGCATAACTGACGCTGCTGTCACGGGTGGACTTGCACGGGTTGGACTGGGCATAGTGCAGGAACTTGACCTCCTTCTGGCGATCCTTGAGCACTTGCAGCGCCTGACGAAGAAGATCAGGCAAGGTGGCAGCGACGTGGTGTGAGCTGCACTCACACACACACACACACGCATCGATGCAAAGCAACAGGATCAAGCAACAGGCAAAGATGCACCGGGAGGACACAAGAGGGGCGGGGTGGGCAACAGAGCAGTCGTGCTTTGTCATACGCACATCACACCGCACGCAGCACAGCACAACATACGTTGAGGAGGATGGAGATTGGGTTACGGCCACAAATGGTGTTCTCGCACTCCTGGAGGTATGCGCGGAACCCCTTGGCGTCCTGCTTCTCGATAATGTCCATCCCCTGAGCATGGGCAGTGGCGACGTGGAAAAGGACCAGCAACAGTGCGCATGAGACTCATCGCACATGCTTTGCACGCATGTGCGCATACTTTGACACACACACACACTCTCTCTCTCTCTCATTGGTACGCACAGACACACAGACACACACAGACACACACAGACACACACAGACACACACGCACGCACAAACTCGCCTGCTTGTCGAGGTGCTCGATGCCCTTGTAAATGGCGTCGTGCCCCGGCGGTACATATGTGTAGCCGAAGCGGCGGCCCCAGTGACAAAAGTCGGAGCTGATGACAAAGAGGTTGCTTGGATCCTCCAGATACGGTGCAAAGATCTTGCCGTACTCTTGCTCGAGCTTGCTGTCCAGGGCGCCAACAAGCACGGGCACAACCGTAAAGTCCTTGCCCTCCATCACCTGCGCATGAGAGAGAGAGAGAGTGTGTGTGTGTGTGTGTGCATACGTGTGTGTGTGTTCGGTTGCACTGTGTTGCGAGATGGTGTGTCACGCAGCTTTGAGGCACTCATGTGCACGCACACAGAAACACACGCATCCATGCCCTCATGCACGACCACAACCACAGCACCTTGGCAACGTATGGCAGGTGCATCTCAATGCTGTGCTCATCCTCATCAGTTTGAATGTCCATCTGCAAGGGGACAAGACAAGGAAGGAGCATCAGCAACTGCAAGCACACTGGAAGAGAGCACACGCACCATCAAGAACACACACGCACACGCGCAAACACCCACACCTACACATGGCGATACAGCCTGCAGCAGCTACACGCGTACGTGTTCAAACTGGCCGGTTGCCTCGAGGTCTTTGTTTGTGTCCCTGTCAATCTTGAGGTTGCCGATGGGCGTGTCGTATGTTGTGGTCGACGTCAGTGCACAGCCTTGGATGTACACATGATGCGACGGCCCGAGCACGAACACCCGGCGCACATTGTCTGGGACAATCTGCGTGCATGTCATGTGTGCATGCATCAGTGAGCGCACGTGATTGGTTCAGCGCGCAAGTGAGCGTCAGAAGAGGAGGCGGGATTATCCGCGAATGTGTCACAACGAGAACAGGGACAAAACTCGACTGTTTCCAAACCCTTGAGGTACGCGCCATGAACACTGCAGACAAGCAAAGCCGCTTTCAGGCACAAAGTGACTTATTCACCCAAGCACACACACACACACACTCTCTCTCTCACCCATGCACTCACGCAAGCCCAAGCACACACACACACACACACACCTGTTTGTAGGCGTAGGCTGCTGTTGGGCCGGAATAGGAGTAGCCGGCGTGAGGGGCGATGATGGCACGAGCGCCAGGCATGATGGCTTCTCCAACTTTTCCAAGCCAAGCGTCCAGTTGTCCAGACAGCTCTTTGCCTATCCTCCACCAACCGATCACCACATGAGTACAAGCGCAGCAATCACCCCCGTGAACGCACGGCTCATGTCCCAAATACAAACAAACGCAACAGTCGCAACAAACGAAGTGGCCACCAAACACAAACACAGCAATTGCCAACAAACCTCCACACAACGACACCGTGCCACACATGCATTCAAAGGTACCACAGGTGAGAGGCCATGCATGTGCACATACCATCGTCTGTGTACCAGCTCCCAGCGTGCGTGGCACGGCGGTGCGCGCTCATCTTCGTGTGGTTGATGGTCTGGATTGGTCGGTTGGTTGGTGCGATTGCTTCTGGCGGCTGCTGCTGGTGATTGTTGGGTGTGTCAGCAAGTTCTTGATGTAGATAATTGAACAAAGACTTCATTGGAAATTCAAGCCAAACAAGAGGAAGGAGGACACCCGAATCGTCATCATGCCATGCAAGAGTGACGCCACAGCGTGTGTAACAGAACCACGAACCACAACAACCATCTCAAGAACGCCCGTTCACTCCACTGGCCACTGGTGGCTGTGAGCTTCCACAACACGTAACCTATGCACACACACACACACACACCCGCCCCCGAAAACGTGTGCCACGCATGAAGGTGTACATTCATTTTCCCCACGTGCTGATGTGATACGGCCTTTCAAAGGAAGAAGGGAGCAACCCTTGCCAGCCAGCATGAGTGACAAAGGTGAGTCAGGCAGTGCCACTGGCCTCAAGGTCGTGTTTTCGTGCATGTGCGTGCGTTTTGGTGCGTCTGTCTGAGCGGTGGAAATGCGATCGAGTTAAGTAAGAGAGGAGAGGCGGTGGGTTCGACTGCTTTTCATGATGCCCAAACCACTGTGCGTCTGCGCAGACGCACGTGACGCTGAAGTCTCGCAGGTCCACGAGGACGACAGCAACAACGATGACTCCCAACAAGCACCGACTATGAAGCCCGTGGGCTACTTTGAGCTGTACCGTTTCGCTGACGCACTCGTGAGTCCACAACCCAAACCCTGTATGTGTGTATGTGTGTGTGTGTGTGTGGTTGGTGGAAGGCCCGTGACGTGATGCTCAATCAACTGGCTCGCTGGCTCACTTCCACTGGCATTGCTCGCTTACCACTCGTTAGGACTGGGTTTTCATCGTCGTTGGATCCATTTGCGCACTCGTCCATGGCAGCCTCACCCCAGCATTTGTCGTGTTTTTTGGAGACGTACGTGCAGGGGTCGTGAGAGAGGACCAGTGCAAGCCCAGTTTCCTGAAACCACACACACGCACAAGGTTGTGCGCAAAACGCGCATGATCGAAACGCGCACTAACAAAGCATCACACACGGTCATCAAAACAAACATACTGCACATGCGCAGGTCATTGACAGCTTCAGCGCCACCGCAGACCAGAGTAAGCTACTGGACAGCGTGGCAGACGCCAGTGTGATCATCATGTACTTGTCCTGCGGAGCTGCTGTGACCTCGTACGTGCAAGTGGCGGCGTTCACGCTGGCCGCTGAGCGCCAGAGCCTGCGCATCCGCAAGCTGTACTTCAAGGCCCTCGTGCGCCAGGAGATGGCCTGGTACGACCAGCAGAAGACCGGCGCCCTCTCCTCCCGCATCTCCAGCGACGTTCCCCAGATCCAAGAGGCGCTCGGCGACAAGGTCGCCAGCTTCCTCCAGTTCCTCGGCATGTTCCTCGGTAAGCAACGCGCTGTGCTTGCGTGCTTGCGGTGTGTGTGTGTGTGTGTCTGCGTGTGTGTGTGTGTGTGTGTGTGTGTGTGTGTGTGTGTGTGTGTGTGTGTGTGTGTGTGTGTGCGTGCGTGTGTGTGTGTGTGTGCTTGCGGTGTGTCTGCGTGTTTGTACGTGTGTGTGTCTCGCGCTTGATCGTGCATTCAGCTCACCTCACCTTATGACACCTCCCCCCTCTCCTCCCTCTCCTCCCTCTCCTTCCTCTCCTCCCCCTCCCTCTCTTTCGTCTGCAGCTGGATACGTTGTAGGCTTTGTGTATGGCTGGAAACTGACGCTGGTCACCACGGGCATGGTCCCTCTCATCGCCATTGGTGCGTGCGTGTGTATGTGCGTATGTATCTGCTGTTGTATGTACATGTGTGTGTGTGTGTGTGCGTGATCCCTTCATCACAGCATTCCATCGCATCGCCATTGCATTGCTCTGTTCTGTTTTCGTCTCCTCCGCGCTATTCATGCCACTCACGCTGCCACCACCACCATCACCACCACCATCACAACCCACAGGCTCGGCAATCATGGGCAAGTACATTGCACAGGCGTCCTCGGGCGGGCAGGGCTTCTACGCAGCGGCGGGCAGCGTTGCAGACGAAGTGATTCGCATGATCCGCACCGTCATTGCCTTTGACACGCAGGACCGCGAGGTGGAGCGCTACCACAAGGAGCTCGAGGGCGCATGCAAGGCCGGCGAGCGCGGTGGTCTCATCCAGGGCTGTGGTGCGTTGCCTGAGATTGGGGGGGGGGGTTTGTGGGAGTGCATGAGAGAAAGAGAGTGTGTGTGTGCGTGTGTGTGTGTGCCATGCAGTGAGCATCTGTATCGTTTCTTCCTCTCCTGTCCTCACACGACCACCATCACAATCACCACTCACTCCCGACAACATCCTTCCTCGTCATCAACAAAACCACGGCAGGGGTGGGCTTCACGCTGATGCTCACCTTCCTCACCTACGCGGTGGCGTTCTGGTTTGGGTCCTACCTTGTTGGGGAGGAGGAGCTGACAACTGGGCAGGTGTTGACGGTGTTCTTCTCAGTCATCATCGCAGCCACATCGATTGGCCAGGCAACGCCCAACATCAAGGTGATGGCTGCTGGCCGCGGTGCTGCGCGCGCCATCTTCGACATCATTGACCGCCCGTCCGAGATTGACTCGCTGTCCGAGGAAGGCACTGTGCCCTCCAAACTCACGGGCCACATCCGCTTCAAGGACGTCGACTTCACCTACCCGACCCGCCCTGACGAGCAGATCCTGCACAAGCTCAACATCGAGGTGAAGCCGCAGGAGACGGTGGCGCTGGTCGGCGCGTCCGGCTGCGGAAAGTCCACGACCGTCGCCATGCTGGAGCGCTTCTACGACCCGACGGCAGGCAGCATTGAGCTCGACGGAACAGACATCCGCAAGCTCAACATCCAGTGGCTGCGGTCACAGATTGGCCTGGTGAGCCAGACCCCGGTGCTGTTCCCCACCACCATCGCAGACAACATTGCGCTTGGCAAGGACGATGCAACAGAGCACGAGGTCCACAGCGCCGCAAGGTGAGGTGGGCAGGGCAGGGCGGGTGTGTTTGTTTTGTTGCTTGTGTTGGGGAGGGGGAGGGAGGGAGGACGCGCGAGTGGATGTGTGACGGTTTGTGTGTGTGTGTGTGTGCGTGTGTGTGTGTGTGTGTGCGTGTGCGTGTGTGTGTGTGTGTGTTTGTGTGTGTGTGTGTGTGTGTTGAAGGTGGTGTATCACTGTTTGTGATGCATGCGTACGGTATGCTCCCATTGAGCCCCCTCCTCCAATCTTGTCACTGCCGCCCTCACATCATGCCATGTCGCGCGGCGTCGTGTCTCCAGGATGGCGAATGCGCACGACTTCATCATGGCGCTGCCAGACGGATACAACACCATGGTCGGCGACTCCGGCACACAGCTCTCCGGCGGACAGGTCAGGACCCATCATCGTGGTAGCGGCAGTGGTGGTGGTGGGTCCGGACATTGTGGTGGGTACGCGCCGTTTGTTTCCTTCTCCGCCTCCCCTCACGCTGCTGTACACACGCACACACGCGTGCATTATTGATTTGCTGGTGCGCCTGATAGCGGCAACGCATTGCCATTGCTCGCGCTCTCATCAAAGCCCCAAACATCCTCCTCCTCGACGAAGCAACCAGGTGTGTGTGTGTGTGCGTGTGTGTGTGCGTGTGTGTGGTGTGTGTGGCGTGCGCGCGTGTGTGTGTTTATGAGTGTGTGTGTTGCTGTTGCTGTTGTTGTTGTTGTACGGGTATTTATTGGGCCCACACGCGCTTGTGCTTTCCCCTTCCACAACCACTCACCTTGTTCATTCGCGCCCGCACCCTCTCTTTCCTCTCCCACCTCCCCCACTCCAGCGCGCTGGACAACGAGAGCGAGGCGATTGTGAAGGAGGCGCTTGACCGGGCATCGACCGGCCGCACCACCATCATGATTGCGCACCGCCTGTCCACGGTGTTCTCTGCAGACAAGATTGTAGTGATTGACCACGGGCGTGTGGTGGAGGCTGGCTCGCCGCAGGAGCTGCTTGACCAGCAGGGCGCCTTCTACCGCATGGTGCAGGCACAGCACGGCCACAGCGGCGACGACAACGGCAGCAGCGCCAACAAGAACGCAAACCTGCGTGGTCGCATGTCCCTCGACGCGGGCAAGGCGGCCAGCAAGCTGCTGACAGAAGAGCTCGACATGAGCGACAGCAGCAAACCAGCGGCGCTGGCAAATGCGTCATCGTCGCTCTCCTCAGCACAGAACACCAAGGCGGTGGAGGTGAAGCTGACGGCGGACATGGACGAGTCCGGTGACAACGACAGCGAGGAGGCGCCAAAGGTTGACCGCAGCATGGTGGGCTGGGCCTTTGAGCTGAACCGGAAGGAGCTGCCACAACTGCTGTCCGGGAGCACGTGCGCAGCGCTGGAGGGCCTGTTGTCCGCAGCCAACGCCGTGCTGCTGGCAGAGCTGGTTGGCGTGCTCAACGACGACAACAGTCAGAAGCGCGTGAATGCGTTTGCGGGCGCCTTTGTTGGCATGGCTGTGCTGATGTTCTTCGTGCAAGTGGGCAAGTTCCACTTTCTGGCGATTGCCGGTGAGCGGCTGACGATGCGGTTGCGCGACATGGTGTTCCGAGTGATGGTGAGCAAGTCTGCCGGGTGGTACGATGACCCGCGCCACTCCCGCGGCATTCTCACCACGCGCCTGTCGTCCGACGCCTCTGCTGTTCGCGGCGCTCTCGGCGACCAGCTCGGCGTTGCCGTCCGCATTGCATTCACAGGTGCGCACTCGCGTGTGTTTGCGTGTGTCTGTATGTGTGTTTTTGTGCGCGCATTGTGTGTGCGCGCGCGTGTTTGTATGTGTGTGTGTGTGTGTCTGTGTGTGTTGAATGTGTGTGTGTGTGTGTGTTTGCGTGTGTTTGCGTGTGTTTGCGTGTGTCTCTGTGTGTCTGTGTGTGTGTGTCTGTGTGTGCATGTTTGTGCGCGTGCTCCCCATTGCCGACTCATCATGTTTTATCACTCCTTCGTCTCTTCACCAGTGATTGGGTGCATGACGGCTGCCTGTATCTACTGCTGGCGCGTCGCACTCGTCGTCCTTGCCACATTTCCCATCATCATTCTCAGCGGTTGGTACATATGCTTGCTGTACGGTGCTGTGGCAGCACATGACACACTTAGCGACAACCACTCACGTGTTCAAACATGCACGACAATGACAGCATCCATTGAATATAAGTTGATCAGCGGCTTCTCAACGGGCAAGGCCTTTGAGCGCTCTGGGAAGTTTGCCAGTCTCGCTGTCGAGGAAGTTCGCACCGTCGCCTCCCTTGGTGGGTAGATGTCACAAAGATCGCGCTGGTGTGTCTTGCTGTCTGTTTTTGCGCAGTGCGTGCATTCTCCAAACATACCGGTTCACTGGTTGCGCGCTTCTCACCCATGTTTCACCCAACTGCCATCCAGGTCGACTGGACACATTTGTTCAAGACTATGCTCACACGCTTGAGGCTCCTGCCGCCATCATGCGAAGGAAGGCACACATTCAGGGCCTTGTTTTTGGCTTCTTTGAATTTAGGTATGCCGCAGCGGTGCTTGCATGTGTGTCTGTGTGCGTGTGCGCGCGCTTGTGAGTGTGTTTGTCTACATGTGTGGATTTGTGTGTGTGTGTGTGTGTGCGTGCGTGCGTGAATGCATGGTTTTGTGTTTGTGCGTGTGTATGGGTGTGTATGAATGTGTGCATGCGCGTGCGCGTGTCCACTTGCTGGTGCTTGTTTGCTATTTCCCTTTGAATAGTCTACCACTAGCCATTGCATCCAGCTTATCGGTCATTGCAATGTGCTTGCCTTGTTCAGTGTATTTTCCGTGTGGGCGCTCGGCTTCTGGTACGGTAGTCGGATTGTTGACAATGGCCACTGCACCTTCAATCACATGTTTGCAGCACAAGGTACAGCCAACATGAGACTGGAGGTGTCCCTGCTTTCTTTTCGCCACATGCTTCTTTTCAGCTTCATGAGACGTTGCACGCTGACCGGGCTCTTGTCACGCCACTCGAATCCCAGTGTCCATTATCTTCATGGGAGTATTGACCGGACAAGCAAGCGCTCTCGCACCGAGTGCTGCCAAGGTGCACAACACATGTTCGCGTGTTTGCTCACATCAGCCTCGCATTGCCATCGTGCGCAGTCGTGTTTTCGACGTTCCAGCAATCATGCATCCACACTTTGTGCACTATCATCCACGCACTCACGCAGACACACGCACACGAACACGTTCACATGCTCTTCCCACTGTCGGGCGCTTGCTCACGTGGGCACGTGTCTGTGACATCGCTTCCCTCCCAATATCCTTGCGAACACACGCACGCACTCAGGCAAAGCAAGCGGCTGGTCGCCTGTACACGATGATCGAGACACACAAGGAGGAACAAGAGGCCGAGGCGGAGAAGAAGTACGTGCGGCCCGAGATTACGGGTCGCGTTGAGTTCAAGGACGTCGACTTTGTGTACCCGACGCGCCCCGATGCGCAGGTGCTGTCCAAGCTGAACCTGTCGGTGGAGGCCGGCAAGACGATTGCCCTGGTCGGCCAGAGCGGGTGTGGCAAGAGTACGATGATTTCGCTGATTGAGCGGTTCTACTCGCCCGTTGGCGGCAAGATCCTTGTGGACGGCGTGGACGCGGAGAAGATTGACCCGGGCCACCTCAGGAAACACATTGCCCTCGTCACCCAGCAGGTATTGTGTGACTGTGCGGTGGTGTGTGTGTGTGTGTGTGTGTGTGTGTGTGTGTGTGTGTGTGTGTGTGTGTGTGTGCGTGTGTGTGTGTGTGCGTGTGTGTGTGTATCTATTTGCGTTGTGCGGGGACAGGTCGTGTCAGAAATTGAACTGCAGCAACCTGACAAGACACATTGACTCGTTGTGTTGTGACGTCTTGCAGCCTGAGCTGTTTGCGTCTTCCATCAAGGAGAACATTGCATACGGCATCCCCGAAGACGTGCCCATGGAGTGAGTCGCTGCAACTGCTGATGGTGAAGACGAATGTACATGCATGATGAGAGAAGAAGCACAACACTGGGTGGGGAGCGGCTGCTTGCATGACACGTTTTATTTGGGCGCAGAAACTGATGTGCGTGTGTTGCACGGCCTTCCTGTGTCATTCGTCAGGCGCATTGAGGATGCGGCGCGAAAGGCCAATGCCTATGATTTCATCCAGGAGTTTCAGGACAAGTTTGACACGCTCGTTGGCGAGAAGGGCGCGCAGCTCTCCGGTGGACAGGTTGGTTCTGTGGACTGTAGGGGCATTGCAGCAGTGTGCGATGCTCGGCCTTGGTCCTGCTTGTGGGCGGTGTTGGCTTGCATGTGATCACCAGATCCCAACCACCCCCCCCCCCACCTCATCTCACGCCACTGCCAACAACAACACAGCGCCAGCGCATTGCTGTTGCGCGTGCACTGGTGAGGGCAGACGACATCAAGATTTTGCTGCTGGACGAAGCTTCCGCTGCCCTGGACACCAAGAGCGAAATGCTCGTGCACGAGGCCTTGGACAGGTGTGTTTTGTTTAGTGTTTGTTGGGTGTGTGTTGAGGGTGTGTGTGTGTGTGTGTGTGTGTTTGGAGAAGTGGCAATCACGATGTACCACGCATCGTACGTGCATGAAGGGACCCCATTGATATGTGGCTCATAATGTGATGATGCTTGAATCTCCCCCCGCCCGCCACCACACACACACACACACACACACACATACACACACACACACACATGTGCAGGACGATTGTGATATGAGCAGGCAGAATGTGAAAGGCTTGGTTGCTTCTGTTGTGTTGTGTACGTGTACTTGGTGGTGTGTTTGTGTGTGCACTTGTAAGGAACGATGGGTGCGTTGAGGGCGCAGCTGTCAATGCTGTAACTGTGGTCGCACTTGAATTGAAGGACTTGGCGTTGATCTAGGCGCATTCGCATGCAACTCGTGCTGATTGGGTTTGCGTTGGCCACTTTGTGAAACTTGCAAGCAACAAAGGTGTGCTGTTCGTTTTGAGGCTGATGTTCGCTTCTGCTTCGTAAATTTGCTTGCTGATATGCAACAGAACACTCTGCTGGTACTTGGGGACTTGTCGAACGGAAACACATTGTAATGTGGTGGCCAGTAACGGAAAATCAGAGAAAGGGTGTGCGCCTCAGCGGGTGACGCGACGATGGTGGTGTGATTGGTGTGATGGTTGTGTTGTTCGCAACAAATCAGCAGCGTTAGGCAGAAGAAGAACATCGGGACATGCAGAAGTCAAAGAGTGAGCGAACAGAACAAACAGAGGACGGTTGACATGCGTCACAAGTGGAGAAACAGAAACATCATGGACTGATGTGAAGAAGAAGAAGAAGGCGGGCGGAGAGGAACCAATCTTTCATGAGACTTGGCTGGAAGGGAAGCTGGCAACCCTTTAGCACGTCACGTCAATGTCGTGAACGACCGACGCTGCACCGGAGCACGCGATAAACTGGTAGGAGCCATCATGCCCTGGAGAACCGTTTTGTCCATCTGCACCAGACAGCCCAGTGGCCCCTTGAGAGCCAGGTTTGCCATCTCCACAACTGTGATCTTGGTTGCAGTGGCAGTGACAGCCGAGAAGGTCCAAGCAGCATGTGTGGATGAAGGCCAAGCCTCCTTTGCCTCCTTGTCCTCCAGCTCCGCCTGGGCCGCCTTTTCCGCCTTGTCCGCCATGACCACCAGAGACGCTGACAACGGTGCTGTTGGCGCTGATTGCCGTGATGCGAACTTGGCCTCCGTTGCCGCCTGCTCCGCCATTCGTTCCAGGTGTACCAGTACCGCCCTGCTTTCCGTCCTCTCCAGGAAAGCCGGGGTGGCAAGTATGATCACAGCCGTATCCTCGACCAGCATCAGCAGGATTGACTGGGGGCATTGCGCACGCGCCTTGCTTCCCGTTTGCGCCAGGAGCCCCAGGCTTCCCTTGATGTCCTGGCGTGCCACTGCCACCTGGTCCGCCCTGAGCGCTGATGGAGAGCGTACCTGACGTTTTCCGGGCGGAGATGACGATGTTGCCGGCATTGCCCCCTGGCTTATTGGTGCTACCGGCCTCTCCATTCACGTTGAACTGCACTGCGCCTTGCACCTGGAGCACGTCATTGCACAGCAAAACAATGTTGCGGCCAGGTGATGTGTAGTTGCCACTGTTGATGATGCAGGTGTCAGCAACCACGATGAGGTCCTTGCCTGCTACGAGAGCTCCGGTCGTGACGGCCACCCTGGTTCCGTTGTAGATGACTGCGGTAGCGTTGGAGGACACCGTGGTAATGTTGGCGACGGGAAAGTGCCCGCAAGAGTCGTGCACTCGACGAGAAGTAACGACCGCACCGGTGGAGCGCCCGTGCTGCGCCACTGCCAGTGCTGCAAGCAGAAGCAGCCCCAGGTGAGCCTGCTGAAGAAGCCGAGAGAGTCCCAGGAGCATCTTGGGAGGCATCTTGAACATCGTCGCACTTTCTTGGAAAGGGAGGAAGGTGCAAGTCGGTGAGTGCAAAGAAGAAGACCAGGTCTGTAGGCGAAGCTTGTACTTGTAATGCGCTGGCGTTGCTGATAGCGTGGAAAATGAGGCAGCTCGTTGACTTGAGCCACCCGCCAATCTGGATCTGCTCATCAATGAGAGTCAAGCAAGAGAGTCAAGCAAGAGAGTCGATTTGTCACGGGTATCACCAAGTCTGTCCTTGCTTCCTTGTGCAACGGAAAGAACATCTGCGTTGCATGGTGCACACGCGTGTTCATGCGCATGTTTCTTCATGCCATCCTGCTCGGGAGAGGGTCGCCCAAAAGAGGTGAGGGGCACGTGACAAATGAACCACGGAGCTACGGAGGAATGACACCGCAGAAACAACAGTAAAGCAGTGGGCGCGCTAAATTGCTAGCTTGCTTGTCAACGATTGTAGTGATGTGACATGACATGATCAACTAGATCAATCATGCTAGCACAACCAATATTGGAGCTGCTGCCACGACCAATCTTCAAATTATATCTTTGGTGCGAGCTAGGGCGGGGAGGAAAGGGAAGAACAGAAGAATGGAGGTCGAGTGACTGTGATACACTGTGCGAAGAGCATGCGGTGTTCAACCCGACTTTTGGTGAGTCACGAATTGGGCAAGGGAGGCTCAAGCCCAAAATCCATCGCTGGACTATGGACAGAAGCAAGAGGAAGCGCAACAAAGCACGACATCAGCATTTTTCTCTGCGCGATATTGCTCATGCTTTTTTTTTTTTTTTTTGTTTTTGACAGGGACACGGAAAGGCGTGTTGCTATTGATCCGACTTGGCACTCGTGGATGATGCTGAGCCAGGCCCGTCACCATGATGGGGCGTGCGTGGTGTTGTTTCGGCATCAAACACGAGAATGGCGCGCACCAGAACGCACGCGGGGTCGTCAATTGCAATCTCAGCCACGGGAATGTGGCCGGGCTCATCCCACTGCTTGAAGGTGCCAAACGGCTTGCCATCGTCGATGTCGCCTGAGGTGAAGTCGACGACCGCGACGTGGGCGTCATGACCAGCGCGCAGCGGAAGCCCAGAGAGGTTGACGCCCAACACGGGGTAGGGGTTGGCGTACTGGATGTCGCAAACCAGCACGACACGGTACTCCTTTCCTGAGCGGAGGTTCATGCACTTGAGGTCGTGGTGCTTGCTACTGCTGTATGTGCAAGGTCTTGTGTATGCAAGCGCGTAGTCAAGGTCTGGCGTGAAGTAGAAACCGGCGCCGTACCAGTCTGCAGGCACAAACCGTTGCTTGGTAATGAATGTGGCCAGAGCGGTGTCTGTGAGGCGGGCGAAATCGCCACCCAGAATATCAATCGCAGCTCCAAAGTTCTTGACGCCGTGAAACACGCGCTGCAGACGAATTTGAGGGTCTCTTGTCATCAACGACGTGTCAAGCAGGTCATAGTGGGATTGTCGAGTGACACGGGCGACCACATAGTCCTCTTCTCTGGTGAATTCTGGCCCGTGCCTGCCGTATTTGGGTGAAAACGTATGGGTGATATCTGCCAGGTGGTTGCGGTAGCGGGCTTTACTGCCATCAATGGCGCCGTTGAAAGCGGCCAACTTCTGATCGCACCACGTGATGGCAGCAGCATGGACGTTATACCCAAACGGGATGAGGGGATCTGTCTCTGCAGCAGTGCGTCCGCCAGCCTGGCACAAGAGCTGTGTTGGTGTGTGTGTGTGTGTGTTAGAGGGGTGTGTTGCAGTAAATTATGTTTCAGGTAGGCATGGCTCTATAAACGACAGAAGTGCAAGTGGAGAACGTGTGTCATGCACACAAGGGAAGCAAGGCACAGTGACGCAACTCGATGCATACGCACACTCGCTTGGGCGCTCACCGTTTTGATGAGTTTGGTGTGGCTCGCTAGGTTGAGCGGAGCGATTTGCACAGATGCACGCAAGGATAAGGTGGTTGCCACACGCTCCAAGGCATTCCGCAACTCTGGCTTGAACTTCCAGGCAGCGTCTGGTGGGCCTTGCAGCATCAGTTGCTGTTCTCGAAGCAACTGGTGCTGCCTCCGTTCCAATTCCAATCGTTGCTGTCGCTTCTTCTTGACCGCAGCATGTTGTTGCTTTGCATCCTCGTGCTGAACCCTCAAGGTCGCGTGAAGCTGCGCAAAGTTAATCCGGCTACCGCTGACAGCAAAGCAGAGACCGACCAGGGCCTCAAGAAGCTCTGGCATCGCCTGCCCGGTGACCGTGTGGTCCAGCGGCAAGTGGCGACCAGCGCGATAGCTGTCGGTCACATTGATGAAGGAAGCACCACCGTTCGCTGCGTATTCTCCGTGGTGCCAAGGGATGACGCCAAACCACACCTCCCACATCACACAGCCAAACGAGAAGACGTCCGTGTCAGCGCGCACCTTCGTTTCGAGAAGCTGCTCCGGGGATGCCCAATAAAGTGTTCCCCGAACAACAGAAACAGATGAACGATCGGCAGGCCTGATCGTGCTCAACCCAAAGTCTGTGACCTTGACCGTGCACGCTGCATCCAGCAATATGTTGGCCGACTTGAGGTCTCTGTGTACGATCTTGTGCGCGTGCAAAAACTCCATCGCGCCCGCTGTCTCGGTCAAGATGCGCATTTTGTCCACTTCCTGCAGTTGCTTCTTGTCGATGTGCAAGAAGTCGTACAAGGAGCCGTTGTCTGCCCAGCTCAGGACGACCGACATTGTCCTGCTCTTGTCATCGTAACACAGGCCGAGAAACGTCACGATGTTCGGGTGCCGCATGGAAGCGAAGATAAGCAGCTCTCGTCGCACCCACTTCTCTTTGTCTTCGGCGGCACCAAGATCGTCATCCAGCAATTCCTTGAGCCTCGGCTTGCGCGATAGATCCACCTCCTTCAGCGCCACTTTGTGCCCGGCGAGTCGAGCCTCAAAGAGCCGTCCGTAACCCCCAGAAACGGGCCTGTCTGCATTGTTTGTCGCCCGCTTCTTGTCCACAAAAAGGGAGGCGTCCATGTCCAAATTCAGCATAGTCTCTGAACACATTGTTGTTGTTGCGACCCAAAAACATCCGTGAGACACGAATAAAGGCAAGCTGTGAGTAAATTGCGTTGGGAGGGGGGAACGCGTGTCTGCATGAGTGTGCATATGTGCATGTGTGCGTGTGCGTGTGCGTGTGCGTGTGCGTGTGCATGAATGCGCATGAATGTGCATGTGCGCACGTGCGTGTGCATGTGTGCACGTGCGTGTGTGTGTACGTGGTGTCGTCGGGCGTTACCCCTCGTTGTTGGCGAACCAACTGAAAGACTGAGCATCGTGCAGCACTTACCGATGCGTTGTTCAAGCGCACGCTGGGCGTCTGAGACATGCCTGTCGGGGTCAGATTCCGATTGCTGTCCTGATGCGGCAAATGGCAAGCAACCGCGTGATCGATGTGCACATTCACGTGAATGGACGCATCGTGGACTCTGCTGCCTCCCAGAACCAGCAGCAGCGAGCATGACACCGCCATGGGAAATACCTCTGAGCGCCTCTTCATCAGACCGGTCCCCGGCAACTGTTGCAGCTGGACACACGCCCTGGTCTGATGAAAGCAAAGGCACGGTGTGCAGTGTGGTTGATCCATGCAAGGATGAGTACTACGAGGAGAACTGTGATGTAAAATTTGTTTTCACACTTAACGGTGGTTGCGGGCGCAAAACCGTGCAGCAGAGAGAGCCCTCGTGTCGTACTCAGGGCTTTGATGGCTTCTTGCAAGTCCTGCTTGTCTTTCTGTAACCTCTGAATCATCGCCTCTGACGTCGTCGACATGATGGACGAATTAAGCAAAATCAAGTGGTGAGAAACAGGGCCGAGGAGGGCTGCTCATAGGCACCAACACAATGCCTCAAACAGCGCAAGTGCACGGCGAGCAGGCAAGCACGCTTACCCTGTTTCTTGTTGATATCCTCCAGCTCTTGCTTGTCTTGCATCAGATTGTCCGTCGATACGCCTGAGTCACGAGCAATTCCATCACGCAGGCAAGTTACAAGATAGATAAAATAAGCTGGCGTCACCACCGTCACCCTGACATATCCACAAAAGCTGCGTGGGCGCCCACAACTGGTGCAGCACATGTTCAAGTATTAATCGACCATCTTGCGCCTGCTGGGGCTCGGAGTTGGGTTTGGGCAAGGAAGCGGCGAGGTGCGGCGAAGGAGTGTCAGGTGCCAGCCTCGGCTGAGCCACCAAATCAATCGTGGCGCCCTTGCTGACTTGGTCCCTAAAAGCAGCAACCAAACACGCAGTGTCAGTGGGAAGGGGAAGAGAGGGAGGTGGGAGAAGAGGGAGGTGGGAGAAGTAGCAAGGTTGTAGCTGTGTGTTTCTAGTGGAAGGCAAAGACATGCGCGAGTGCACTGTTGTGAGCCGGTAAATGAGAGCGCACGTCACCAACGATCTTTGTTCGCGCTTTCAGCTTGCATGCAGGCAACGTACATGTCGAGGCTGACTTCCGAGCCGGAAGCCTCCACTTGACGCAACGCTTCGCGTCCACGGTGGGTGATCTTTCGGTTGTGGTGCAGCCTGTGGTGGGCACGAAGAACACAGACGTTAGGATCGCATTTGCGTATGGGATGGGAGGTGCTGCGAGCATATATGCGCGTGTTTGTGTGTTTGACTCTGTTTGTATCCATTTCACACGCAGAGAGAGAGAGAGAGAGACAGTGAGAGAGACAGTGAGAGAGAGTGAGAGAGACAGTGAGAGAGAGACAGTGAGAAAGAGAGAGAGACAGTGAGAGAGAGAGAGAGATTTACACACACACACACACACAGATACAAGCATGCACACGCAAGAATACACACAGTGCCAGACGCACGAGATTATGGAGAGGCGAGGATTCTTCCGCAGTACATCTGCCAGGCAGAGAGCGCCGTCATCGTCGACATCATTGCTGGCCAGTCTGGAACAGAATGAAAGCGCAAGCAAGCGCGTCGGCAGGCACACGGGCAGCATGGTGAGCTTGCGGTACCCAGCACATGAAACAGAACGCACCACCACCACCACCACCACAAGAGTACGAGCAGTGTTGACTCAACAAGAAGATACCCCCTGAACGCCTGCTTGCTTGAGCTGTACAACGTGCACTGCCGCACACCACTCACGAGAGGGTGGTGAGGCGGGGGTGGATTAACAGCACTCGTGCAAGGGCCTTGACGCCGGCTGTCGTGATGTTGTTGTTGGCCAAGCTGAGGGAGGTTACAGGGTTGTGCGTGCAGCAATAACAGAAGCAAACATATAGAGAGCCAGGATGAGTTGGTGAGTTGGCGAAGGATGGCGCGTGTTCGGAAAGTGGGAAGAGGCACAGGGAAGGCGCATAAGGCACGACAGCAGCGAAATGCCCGCAAAATGACGTTGGGACGCTGAGACGTTGAGACATCGAGACCTTGCATCGGCAAGCGGCACACACACACACACACACACGCACGCACGCACGCACACACACACACACGCACACGCACACACACACACACACACAACACGCACACACGAATAAAACGCACTCCAGCCAAGTGATGCGATCGTTGTGTCGGAGGGCTTCTGCGATGACGTTGACACCTGCGTCATCAATGTTCATTCCACTCAGGCTGCAAACCATGTCACGGTGGGGAGAGCATACCAAAAACCAATCGGCAAGGTGCAAGGACGAGGTGAGGAGGTCACCGGAGCACCGGGTGGCTGTGACGTACTGCAGAAGCAAAACAACGACACAAACAGAACAAAGGCGCAGACGGCTTGCTTGCCGGCTTGCCCCTACAAACCAGACCCAGCACTCCCTGTTTCCTTCCTTCCTTTGCTTCCCAACACGCACGCACATCACGTGGGTGTTGCTGCCGTTCGTGGCCATGTCTCGAACGGTCTTCTTTGCAGCATCCTTGAGGTTGCTGGCCTCCAGCTGCTTCGCCAGCGTCTGATCCATAGTGAGCTGGTGAGATGGTGGCGTGTCGATGCCTTTGTCTGTGTTGAGGTTGCTCGTTTGTCTTTGTGTGGGTTGTGTGCTTGTTGTGTGCTTCTTGGCCAAGTGCGCTTGTCGCCCCATCTCTCCCATCGCTGGACACATCGAAAACCAATCAGTTGCCTTGCTGGCTGGGAAGTGAGCCAAAGGTTCCTCTTCTTCGAGACCTCGAATGCATGGCGACAGCACGACAGACAGAGTCACACAAGCAGCGCATCGCCTTCATTCGCCTTGAGCTCTCGCAGCCCTGCACACAACCGCGCACTCGCCTCCTTGCACTGTGTGTGTGTGTGTGTGTGTGTGTGTGTGTGAGTGTGAGGTACACTTTTACCTTGGCCATACAAGTTGCACACAAGCACATACGCGCACACGCACGCACACACATGCATACACACACGCACACGCACACACGCGCGCGCGCACACACACACACACACCTTTGCTGGGGAGAGGTTGGCGAAAGCCACACGCACAAAGCCAGGCAGACCACAGGATGACCCGGGAATGACGGCGACATGGTGCTGGTGCGCAAGCCACTCGGCCACACGCTCATCCTCCTCGTGCGGCACCTGCATATGAAGGTAATAGAAGGGCACACGCATGTTTGTGAGCTCAGCGCTTACAGCAAAGCAAAAAGGCAACCTCAATCCACACACTTGCCAATACGCAACATACGTGCACACACGCACACACACACGCGCACACCTTGACCATGGCGTAGATGGCGCCGTCGTGGCGTCCAACGAGTGCGTTGGGATCATACGAGCGAATCGCGTCAAACAAAATCTCTGCGTGCATGCACGGGACGACAACACGACATGAGTGACATCAGGTCACGCCCTGCGAGCAGACGCAGGAAACACAAGGAGCGCACTCCCACCAACTCACACACACACACACACACCCACTCACACACACACACCCACTCACACATCCACTCACACTCACACACACCCACTCTCACACACACCCACTCACACACTCACTCACACACAAACAAACAAACAAACAAACACACACACACACACACAAACAAACACACACACACTCTGACCTCGGTTTGTGTCGAGTTTGCGGATGCGCTCAGCACACCACTCGTGCCCTGCAGCCACAGCACCCAACGCGACAACTTGGCTGACGCAATGGTGGTGCACACACAAAAGCAAGCAACAGGCACACGAGCACATCAAATGCTGGGTGACCATGCGTACGATTGCATGTGCTGCGAGTCTTGCCACCCCTCGAGCGCACTTGAGGTGCAGGCCACCCACCTCAATCGAGCCGGGCAGATGACAACTGTGTCCTGTACTTTCATCAACTGTGGCGTCAGGGCCTGCAGAATCGCACACACACACACGCGCGCGCGCATATTCACAAGGCATGAGTGGACATCCTGAGCACGCATGTCTTCAAGCACACGTTTCCTGGCACTGTACACACATCATTCTGCCATGCAATGTAGCCCACGCGCCAGCCCATGAGCCCATATGCTTTGGAGAAGGAGTACACGTTCAGCACGTGGTCGCCACCAATGGATCTGCATGGGATGCGGCAACAATGGTGAGGGGCCAGACGATGAAAGGAATGGTCACACACACACACACACACACACACACACACACACACACACACACACACACACACACACACACACACACACACACAGGGGCACCTGCGTGGATGGAAGGACAGCAAGAGGAAAGTACACTCACACACGCACACACACACGTAAACATGTGCATATTCACACAGGCACACACACGTAACCATGTGCATATTCACACACGCACAACCCCCCTTCTCACACTGACTCACTCATGGTGTGCGCCGTCAAACACAAAGTATTCGTATGTGTTGTCGACAATGAACCAGACACCATGCTGTGTGCAGAGCTTGCTCATTGCTTTCAGTTCCTCCTTGCTGGCCACCGTTCCCGTCGGGTTGCATGGGTTCACAAGCACCAGCATCTGCGCATGCAGACGAGTGTGCGTGTGTGCGCGCGTGCGTGTGTGTTTCAACACGTTGGCACGGGGGTGGGGCAATGCGACCACACAAACGAAACACTCAGGCTATCGAAGAACGACAGCACGCACACACACACACACACACACACACACACACACACACACACACACACACACACACACACACACACACACGCATGCATGCAGGACTGCACCTTCTTTCCTGCAAGGTTGGCCTCGAGCCAGTCAAGATCTGAACCATGCATGCAGATGCATTGAGCATGCGTTGTTGCATCCGAACACGCACACACACGATGAACACGACCAAGAGCATAACCGAACACACACACACACGCACACACAAGCACACACACACACACACACGCACACACAAGCACACACACACACACACACACACGAGCACTTTGGACCTGGCGCAAAGGTTGTGTGGTCGCGTGGGCAGTACGAAATGTTGCAGCCTGTCATCTGCAGTGCCATGTGATGATTGAAATAGTATGGGCGGAAGAGAACGACTTCGTCGCCAGCGTCGCAGAGTGCAAGCACAATGTTGGCAAAGGCCTGGTTTGCGCCCGCAGTCACCATCACCTCGCACCCATCCAAGCCGTTCTCCTTCACGAGCTTGCTGTGTGGGAGAATATGTGTGTGTGTGTGCGTGCGTGTGTGTGTGTGTGTAAAGTGAACACGGATGCATGGGGACGCCTTGCGGATATGCATAATGCACATGAAACCATACACACACACACACACACACACAACAACACACACACACACACACACACACGACACACACGACACACACACACACACACACACGA